GGTACTGGGGGTTAGGATTTTAACATATGAATTTTGAGGAGACACCATTCAATCCCTAACAGCCTGTAACCCAGAGTGGTTTTTGCATGTTGAACCAACCTTGTATTCCTGGTGTAAAGCCCACTTGATCATGAGATCACTTAATCCTTTCTGTATGTTGCTGGGTTCAGTTTGTATTTTGTTGAAAACGTTTACAAACAGCTAGATAGAATTATTATTCTTTATTCTTACCATTCAAAGTGCTTTTACATATGTTATATCATTTTCCCTTATACAGAATTCTCTGAGGTGGGTAGTATATTCATATTCACTAAAACAAACGGAGGCTCAGGAGAGCGAAGCAATTTTTCCCTAATTATAAATTTGCAGCAGTAGGTAGTATAGATTGGAATCAAAACTACAGATGGAAACAACATTAGGGGGATGAAAGAAAGCAGGATTTGGTAAGAACAAAGAGGAAATTTGGCTGGGTGGAAGTGAGCAGGGTCAATTTGAATGGCATCAGTGATCTCAATGATGTAAGAACTGAGGTCATCTGCTGATGTGCACAATAAGAGTAAATAGAATTGTGGTTTCAATTCATGCATGTAATTAAACCAAGTAGGGATGACAATTCTCATTAATTTTGAGACCACGATTTGACCAGATTAGCTGAAAGGAGAATAAACCAAAGTTTTGATGATAGGGATTTGACTGAATCGGTAGCTGTACATCCCTCCTTCATTCTTGGCAAGTTAATTTCAGGGTGACTGCCAATTCATACAATCTTGTGTAATCCTTGATGGAGCTGTACTCTGGTGCTCTAGTACTATGGCTGCTCAGTCAGGAAATGCTGAATTCAAATTCTATCTCTGGCCCCAAAAGATTGTGTGACTTTGAAAGCCATTTAATTCCTGCAAGACTGTATTCCCTCATCAAATGAAGGAATTGAGTCAGATATTCTCTAAACTCCCTTCTAATTTTATGACTTATTTAGTGAAATAAGGGGAGTGGTGATTCGGTTCACTGGAAATTTTCAAACAGCAATGATGAATTCACTAAGGGTAGACTAAAGAATTACTGCAGAGCAATGAAGCCTCGTAGAGGATAGAGAGCAGTTAAGCCAGGCTGCGTAGCCAGTGAAAGTGGCAAAGTAAACAAGACTGGGGTGGGTGAAGGGGAGGCTACCCGGAGTTAGGAATATCATGGGGTATATTATACAAAGCTATAGAAATCTAGGTAGCCAATTAATGAAAAAACAGCTACAAATAATTAAAAATAATTACAAATAATTAAAAAGCCAGACCAGAGAGTTCATGATGTTATTTATCCCAGTTCAAGGGATGATGCTTACCGGAGTCCCTCCAGTAGTTTCTGAAGTCCTGGTTCATCAGCTTCTCTAATAATTCACAAGTCATGTTTCATTTCTCTGTACTGTCACATGACACTTCATAATGATCTGGCTCACAGGAGGCAATATTCTGATAATCGAGACATCTATTCTTCCTTTTCATTTAAACTATTTTATTTTTTTTCACTCAAATGAAATGCACTCTTACTGCAAAAATTCAAACATACACATACATAATGTAGATAGCAACAGTGCCTATAATTCTTCCTCCCATCCATCCTTCCAGAATTTTTTTTTCTTTTTGTTGGGGGAAGGGAGAAGCAGAGAAAGAATCTGAAGCAGGCTTCATCCCCAGTGCGGAGCCCCTCTTGGGGCCCCATCTCATGACCAAAAACAAAGGTCAGACACTTAACTGACGGAGCCACTCAGGCACCCTCATCCTTCCAGACTTTTATCATATCCAATCAATAGAGAAGAATCTGCTAGAATTATTAAAATAAGAGATACAGAAGTAAAAATGTAAACTTTGCAACTGGAAGCTACTGTCATCTTCTGAGTGTGTGTTATGATTAAAATAACTTACTCTTTATCAGTTCTTGACTTCAGGAAGAAGAAAAGTAGAATTTTAATAGTTTCTTCTATCTGATGTTAAAAAATTTTATTATGGAAAGTTTCAAGAATATACAAAAGTAGAAAGAATAATTCCTACTGCTCAGCTTCAAAAACTATCAATATATGGTCAATCATGTTTCATCTATATGCCCTATTCCCCCTACCTTCTCCCATAGATTATTCCTTAGATTATTCCCAGATTATTTTAAAGCAAATCCCAAGAGATTCCCAAACTCATTCCATTTGAGATCTAGAATTTTTTGATTTCTGAGTTTCCCTCTGTGCTTTGTTTTTTCCAATTCCAAAAAATATTTACTCATGTTCTCTCTAGCTAATACCTGCATGATCTCATTCTTTGGTTTCAATCTCAAGAATTTAAAGTCTATTACTATTTAAGATTAAAAAACACCCTGCAGATATTAGGGATAATGCTTAGGAACAGGTATCTGAAATGTCTTCTACATGAGATTCCAGTTATCTATTCTTTAATATTCCAGCCAATAGAACTTAACCCCCGAGTTTTCAAAAATGTTGCTAATAGCTAGCCAGATTCTTATCTCAACACTTGCATTCTTGCCACCCGATGTTCCCATTTGATTGTCTTAAATTAATCCAATTAGTCAAAGAAAGGAGATTTGAGAAATATTTAGAGATGAACAATAATTAAAAATGCTAATGATTTGAACATAAAAATTAAGTCTTTTTTTCTTGAGGCAGAAAGACCCATTACTAATTTGAGTCACACTGTTGGTTGACCCAACATCTAGCTATAGTCCCTTAGTTTCCTATGTGTAAAATTTGGATAGCAACACTATTTACCACTATGTAGAAAAATGAAACTTATGTTTTGATCTTCTTGTAAAAAGTGAGCTGCCTCATTAGCTGTGCTTGTTTTTAGTCTTTAGCTCAATGAATTAATCCTTGGTAAATAAATATTCTCTTCTACATGTAGAGGAATGGAGATATAGAAATCAAGAGCTTGTAGAATGTTTTTAAAGTCTGAATGACTCTAGACAAAATTTGCCACTTAAATGTTTAAAATTTGAGATCAAATTTACAGTGTTCATTTAAACCATTTTGAGAATGTACAATTCAGTGTTTTTATGTATTCACAAGATTGTGCAATGATCACCACTAATTCCAGAACATTTTATCACCCCCAAATAGAAATCCCCTTCTCCCCATTTGCTGGCAACAACTGATAAACTTTGTTTTTAAAGATTTGGGTATTCTGGCAATTTCATACAAATGGAATCATACAATATGTGGCTTTGGTGTCTGACTTCTTTCACTTAAGCATGTTTTTAAGGTTCATTCATGATGCCGCAGAATCAGTTCTTCCTTCCTTCTGGCTGAATAATATTCCATTGTGTGGATATAGCACATTTTATTTATTCATTCATCAGTTGATGGATATTTGGGTTGTTTCCTTTTTTGGCCATTATACACAATTATGCCATGAACATTCAAGTACAAGTTTCTATATGAACAAGTTTTCATTTCTCTTGGGTACACACCTAGCAGAATTACTGGATCATTAGCATAACCAAGCTTAACTTTCTGAGGAATTGCCAAATTGTTTTTGTAAGTGGCTACACTTTTTTATATTCCCATTAGCAATATGAGAGTTCCAATTTCTCCACATCCTCACCAACTTTTTTGTCTTGTTTTGTTCACAATTATAGATGCCTGGTTGGTATAAAAGTGGTATCTCATTGTGGTTCTGATTTACATTTTTAAATTTTTTTATTATTTATTTATTTGACAGAGAGAGACACAGCGAGAGGGAACACAAGCGGGGGAGTGGGAAAGAGAAAACATGCAAATCCCTCCCACTGAGCAGAGAGCCCGATGTGGGGATTGATCCCAGGACCCCGTGATCATCACCTGAGCCAAAGGCAGACATTTAATGACTGAACCACCCAGGAACCCGTGATTTGCATTTTTCTAATAACTAGTGATGTTGAGCATCTCATTTGCTTGGTGGCTATTTGTATTTCCTTGGAGAAATGTCTATTCAATCCTTTGACCATTTTAAAATTGGGTGATCCTGAGTTATAAGAGCTCTATGCATACTCTGGAGAGATCCTACTTAGATTAAAGCCAAAACAAAAGTTAAGAGCTGTTGGAGGGCAAGACTGAGCCACAATGACCTATTTTGGACTCTTGTACTCATTCATGCCTAAAGTCAGAACTGCCTCCATGAACCAACACATTCTTGGGGGCTAATCTGACTAGAATGACGGAGAGATAATCTCCCCTGTCAGGGTCCCTCGAGTAGAATGGGACTTTTCCCTATTGTAGTTTTTCTGGTCAATCCCCAGGCCCCACCCTATACTGTAGGCACTGGATTGGAGGTAGAGGAAAGATGAATGATGTCTGTCACAAGAAGTGCCACTTCCAATCCCATAGGGCCTGGCAGAAATTTTAAGACCACAGAGACCTTTGCACAACCTCATAATGCTTGTTAAGTGCCACAACTTAAAAAATAAAGCGACAAAGTAAATACCTCAAAGTAACTAACCTATGGGCAGATAAAAAGCATCAAGTGCTAGAGGAGATAAATACAGAGAATACAGAATCCTTATATTAGGTAAAGGCATGGTTGCCATTAACTAATACTGTTACATGTTTCCCAAATTACTTTTCTACCTGTTGTTGTCCCTAGGTTGCCTAGAAAGATCAGCCTATGTGGCCTCAAGCACTACTACAGGTTCCAATCAGATGAGTCCAAAAGTATAGGGCTATGTGGATTTGAACAGGAGGCTAAGGAGAAAGTATAGAGAAATTAGGGGTCATATAGGAAGCTGATACATAGCAACTTTGTATGTATCTTTGGAAAATATATGAGGGATTAAATATTTTTCTACATGAAAACAAATGACACTGTGGTAGTGAGGCAGAACAATACTCAAAATATGATGTTTGCCATTTCTATGCTACAGTGAGTGCCAGTAAGAGATGTGTGGTCACAGTATAATGGGAGATACATTAATTATAATGAGAGCTACATACAGGTGGTTCATCAAAGAGGAAGAAACACAACCAGAGGCAGACACAAGATCTGTAAACTACATTTATTGAGTACTTACTGGGCAGTGGGTACAACCGATACAAAAGAGTTAGGATGGGGACAGGTAAGAACTTAAAAAATTAAATACACATGTTAATTTACCATCTATTTCTACCAGGAAAGTACAAAATTTGTACAACTTATACTTTATTATGAAATTGTGATGCCTGTCAAAAGGATAAACTATATATACAATGCAAAAATTCTTTTTAAATTGTGCTTAACATCATTAGAGTTACCCCAAAATGGGTTGATAAATGCCTATACAGCATTCATTCTTATTACCCACATCTATTTCACCTTAAAGATTGCTTGAAAAGTACAAATCCTTTGACCCCCATTGCTGGGAAATCTGTGGTCAACACCTACATGTGTCGTTTCTCTAAGAAACACCATGGCATTTGCAGTCCATCTCTCCCTTAAAGTCCATCATATTTTCAGCTTAGCTTACTAGCAAGTTCTCTTAGAACTATTTATATGTCTTTTGTTTGATCATCTTCTTCAAGTTTCCTGATTTCATTTTTTAAACAATTTATAGTTTCACGACTTGCCTTTAATCTCTCCTTAAGCTCTGCAATTTCAAAGCTTGTTTTTTTTTTCGCAGCTTCTAATTTTTCTCTGGTTTTCACTTCAAGTTCTGCAACTGAGAAAAACATTTTTATTGAACATTTTCATTTTTCTCACATGTCTAAGGTATGTCAGAGAGTAATAAATATGGCATTTCCTTACGTCAGTTTCCATGATGAAATATAAACAACTTAAGATACATTAAATATAGGGAGGGGAGTAGAAAGTCTTAAACTCTCACAAGAGAATCTAAGACACTTTCTACAACTGAGAATGAAATTCTGGTCACTCACAATTTATTTCACAATTAAGATGTTAAGATATAATGTCCTTGTTTTTCTCTCCACATACATATTAATTTGGAAATAAGGTGGCATATAATCCAAGAGACAGCCAGCCAATTAGAAGAGATAACTAAACACAGTGTTCTTAAATGTATGTACAGTAAAGATTACATAAACAAAATCATGCTGGCAAAACAAACCCCTATTTTTAAAAAAAAGGTTTTATTTACTTATTTGAAAGAGAAAGAATGAGAGAGAGAACGAAAGGGGGGAGGGTCAGAGGGAGAAGCAGGCTTCCCGCTGAGCAGGGAGCCCAAAGTGGAACTGGATCATGGGACCCCAAGATCATGACCTGAGGTCACTGAACCAATTGAGCCACCCAGACGCCCAAACCCATTTATATATATATAAAATTATTTTTTTAATAGCAATAACCACCTAGGTCTAAATTCCAGCTGTACTATTTACTAGCTGTGCCACTCTAAGTTTATTATTTCTATGCTCATTTCTCATTATATTATGATAAGATATATTATAATGGGACTACAACAAATACCTCATATTATTTGAAAAAGATTTTTAATATTTTTTTAGCTTCTAGTTTTAATTGTCTCATTTAGTATATTTTATGACCTATTTCTTTCCCCCAAACTAGTCTTAATGGTTTTACAGAAGTTCTGGAGATAATGTGCTCTTAGTTGAGGTTTTCTATTTTCTTGGTGCTCGTGGAATGACTCCTACTGGTATTAATGACCAGCGAGTAAAGAGGACTTAGCATCTTAGTAAGGAGACCTATAAACTTTCATTTTTAGTTCATATGAATACTTATATTCAAAAATTTTAAATGAATTAATGTACATAAAGTATCTAGAATACTGTCAGGTACATAAAATGCCTTCCGAACTACAATTATGACAGAGAAACACTAAATGATATTTAAAACATTCTAGCTGGTCACATAACAAATTATTAAAGAAAATATCATTACTGCAAAATAGAACACAACTATTTAAATATCCCACTTGGATAGTGTAGTATTATGTTTTACAAAGAAAAATGCCTACTTTTTGTCCAGCATTTCCCTCTTGTGGACATTTCAGGTAATTGCTGCTGATGACTATGAAAGCACAGTTGTTCCCTTTTTTTTTTTTTTTTTTTAAAGATTTTACTTATTTATTTGACAGACAGAGATCACAAGTGGGCAGAGAGGCAGGCAGAGAGAGAGGGGGAAGCAGGCTCCTCGCTGAGCAGAGAGCCCGATGCAGGGCTCGATCGATTGCAGGACCCTGAGATCATGACCTGAGCTGAAGCAAAGGCTTTAACCCACTGAGCCACCCAGGCGTCCCCACAGCTGTACTTTTGATGAGCACTAATTGGAAGCAGCATGGTTTGGTGTGTGGGGGGTAACCCTTTGAAATCAGAAAGACTTCAGTTCAAATACAACCTTGGCCCCTTATTAGCTAAGTGTTGATACTTCCTAAGTCTCCCTCAATCTAGTTTCGATTTGGTACGGTTCAAACTGTATTTCGCAGAGAATATCTGAGGATTAAGTAATAAATGTAAAGCATCTAGCACATTAAAAACATGCAATAATATTTATTTTGTTTATGGCCAGTGACTTTCTTTTTATGATAAATTTTATAATACAGGTAAAATTTTATATTGCCAAAACAATTATTTTTCTTTGTAATTTCTTTCACTGCTTTTAATTTTGAAAATTATTTTTGAAAATAGAGGAGTACCTATATATGATACAAGATTAAAAGGCTGTAAATGTAGATAATGAAAAAAGTTTCTACCTCTGCCCCCCCACCCCCACCAGAAACACCAATCAGTGTTTCTTCCCAGAGATAATCAGTTTGGGGATTCTTTGTTATCTTTCCAGAAATATTTTGTTCATAGACAAGAACACATCTAAGACCCCCCAAAACAAGTGGTATCATACTATCCACACACTGCTCTGTATCTTGCTGCTTCACTTAATATTATGTCTGAAAGCCCATTCCGTATCCTACAGCTGTCTCATTCTTTTCATGGCTGCAGGTGACTTCACCTAATGGACATACATAACTCATTAATCTGTCTCCTTTGACATACACTGAGTATTTCCATTTTTTCTTTCATAAAAAATGCTACGGTATATGCTTTAATTATTTCAGTATATTTGTGGGATAATGAGTACACTTGTAGGACAAATACCTGTAAGTACAATTGTTGGGCTATATGTACTTGTAACTTTGAAGGAATGCCAAATAACTCTTAAAGGTTCTATTACTTTCCAATCCCACTAGCCTTATGTCTGTTTTCCTACTGTAACAATCTCTTGGTCTCTGTTACCCTGAAAGGTTAAAAAGGGTATTTCAGGGTATATTTAATTTCCCTTTCTCTTTTTCCTACTGAAGTGGGCCAATCTTTTTATGTTTAGGAGAGACATTTCTCCTTCCCTTTGTATGGATTGTCTTTCTTTCCTTTGCTATTTTTTTTCTTTCCTTTTTTTTTTTTTTAAGATTTTATTTATTTATTTGAGACGGAGAGCACATGAGCAGGAGCAGAGGGAGAAGGAGAAGCAGACCAACCACTGAGCAGGGAGCCTGATATGGGGCTTGATCCCAGGACCCTGAGATCACAACCAGGCCAAAGGCAGACGCTTAACTGACTAAGCCACTCAGGTGCCCGCCTTTGCTAATTTTTCTAGCACATTATTTGGCCTTCTTAAAAAACTGAGGTATAAGTGACATATTAGTTTCAGGTGTACAACACAATGATTCTACATTTGTATATATTGCAAAATGAACATCACAGTAAGTCTAACATCTGTCATCATAGTTACAAATTTTTTTTTCCTGTGATGAGAGCTTTTAAGATCTCTTAGCAACTTTCAAATATGCAATCAGTATTGCTAACTACAGTCTCCATGCTGTACATTACATCCCCATGACTTATTTATTTTGTAACTGAAAGTTTGTGCCTTTTGACCCCTTTTAGCCATTTCACCAACCTCCCACCCCCACCTCTGACAACCACCAATCTGTTCTCTATGAGCTTTTTTTTTTTTTTTAAAGATTTATTTTAAAGAGAGAGTGGGCATGTGAGCAGGAGGAGGGGCAGAGGGAGAGGCAGAAAAGCAGACTCACTGCTGAGTGCAAAGCTCAAGACTCTGAGATCATGACCTGAGCCAAAATCCAGTCAACGCTTAATCGACTGAGCCACCCAGGTGCCCCAGTTGTTTCTGTTTTTGTTTTAAGATTCCCCATGTAAATAAGATCATTTAGCATTTGTCCTTCTCTGACTTATTAGCATAGTGCCCTCAAGGTCCATCCATGTTGTCATATGTGGCAAGATTTCCTTCTTTTTGATGGCTGAATAATAATATTTCATTGCATATTTGTATCACATTTTCTTTGTTCATTCATCAATAGACACTTAGGTTGTTTTCGTATCTTGGCTTTTGTAAATAACACTGTAATGAACATATAAGTATCTATCTCTCTTTAATTTCCAAGTTAGCATTTCTGTTTTCTTCAGATAAAGAAGAAACTGCTGGATCATATGGTAGTTCTATTTTTAATTTTTTTAGGAACCTCTATGCTGTGTTCTGTAGCAGCTGCACCAATTTACATGCCTACCAACAGTGCATCAGGGTTCCCTTTTCTCCACATGCCAACAATTGTTAGTTCTTGTCCTTTAGCAAACAGCCATTCTAACAGGTGTGAGGTCATATCTCATTGCAATTTTAAGCTGCATTTTCCGAAGATTAGTGACATTGAGCATGTTTTCATGTACATGTTGGCCACCTGTATGTCTTCTTTGGAAAAATATCAATTCAGATCCTGCTCATTTTTAAACTGGATTGTTTCCTTTTTTTGCTATTGAGTTGTAGAAGTTCTTTATACATTTTGAATATTATCCCTTTACCGATATATACTTTGTAAATATCTTCTTCCATTCAGTATGTTGCCTTTTCATTTTGTTGGTGGTTTCTTCTGCTGGGCACAAGCTTTTTAATTATTGGCCTTTCTTACTGATGTGCAGGAGCTCTTTATATATTAAAGAAACTAGTCATTTGTGATAGGAGCACATTACTTTTTCATGGCTTATCTGTCTTTAGACTTTGTTTAGAGTGCTTTTTTACTATGCAACAACTTTTATTCCCTTGCATCCCTTGCATCAAACAAAAAACATATACTGAGTGAAAGGCACTTTGTTAGATGCTGGGGTGAGGTAGACAATAGATAAGAAAGGAAAATGCTGTACAGTGTCATAGGGAGCTATGAGAGCAGACTGGATTCATACCAGTGTGAAAGGGTGTGTATCAAGGAAGACTTCTTGGCAGCAGTAAAATCGAGCTGAGTTTTAAAGAATGAGAAAGGAATTAGATGGATGAAATAGACATCTCAGGCCCTGGAAACAGCACATACAAATTTGGGAAACAACAAGCAGTCATTACAACAGTTAACAGGTAGTTTTAAATCTAGCCAGGAAGACCTAATCCAACTTATTTGTCAAAAGGACAGCATACACTACAGATAGAGATTCTTGTTTGGTTTAGTCATTATACTTTATTTTCTGACCAATCATAAGACTGCAAAGGGCACGATGTATTTGGAGGAAGACCTAATTCACAAGGAGGATTGTAAGGAAAAACATTTAAAAACTTATTTTAGCTTATTTCAGTTTCCTATTTTCTATATATTAAATGCTTATAAAAAGAAGAATAATTTGTTTTAAACTTCTAAATTAAGCCTCAATTTAGAGTAAACAAATCCAAAGAGAACTATTATTTTTATAAAGCCAATATAACTTACTGGTTAGAAGAACAGACTGTAAGGCTTTTACACAGAGATAAAACAACTTATTGATAGAACAAACAGAACAGCATGGATTCAGGTTATTGGGTAATTTGAAACAAGTCATTAAGTCTCACTATGCACTAGGGCCTTTATCCCACAGAACAGGGCTAATAGTAGCATCTTCTTCCTAGGGTTGTTATACCCATAATTCAAGAAGTTCAGAAATGTAAAACACTTATCTACTATACAGTAAGCTCTTATTAAGTGTGTACTATTGTTCTAACTATTCCTTGTAGAAGCAATTATTATTATGATTAGCTGGATCACTGTGCTTGAGCAAATCTCCATGAATTTATTAGCAGTAATGTTTTATAAACTTTCAATATGCTTCATAAATGTATTCTCTGACCTGATCTATAAACTCCACCAAAGGTGTTCCCTACCCTCCTGTTTTTCTCCCTATCACCTAATTACTAACTTATACTTTACTGTTTTGTTAATTTAGTGTTTACCTTTCTCTCAGTAGAGTGTAAGCTTTAGGAAGGAGGGATTTTTATCTGGTCTGGACACGGCTCTATCTTCAGAACCTAGAATAATGTCTTGTATGTAACTGGTGCTCAATATATACCGTAAGCAAATTAATGGATGATCAAAGAACTGAATGAATGGTGACACAAATGTTAACACAAGGATGGCAAATAGGTATCATCTTGAGTACCAACTGCAAATGACTGGCAGTAGCTGCATGGAGAGATGTGTAAGGGATTCTGACACCATGTCAGCTTAGAGGGAAAATACAACATGACTAATTATCAACGTGTCATTCTAGTATTCACCACGCCAGCATTAACCTGAAACTATGTGGCATAGGGTAAACAAAGAGAGATAAACTAGTTCACAGTACAGTAGTCCCCCCTTATCCATGAGGAACATATTCCAAGACCCCCAGTAGATGCCCGAAACCATGGAATAATTCTGATTTCTATATCCATTATGCTTTTTCCTTTGCATACAGACCTATGATAAAGTTTATCAATTAAGCACAGTAAGAAACTAACAATGACTAATAAAATATAATCATTTTAACAGCATACTGTCATAAAAGTTACATAAATGTGGTCTAAGTATCTGATTGTACTATACTCCCCCTTCTTGTAATGATATGATATGATAAAATACCTAAGTGGTAAGATGAAGTGAGGTGAATGACACAAGCCCTGTGACACAGCATTAAGCTACCACTGACCGTTTGACAATGTGTCAGGAAGAGGATCACCTGCTTCTGCCCTAATGTTGACCATAAGTAACTGAAACCTAGAAAAGTAAAATCATGGATAGGGGATACTACTATATACAAAATTATACAGATGACCCTTGAACAACATGGGTTTGAATTGCATGGGTCCACTTATACATGGATTTTTTTTTTTTTTGGTCAGTAAATACAGTACGGTACTATAAATGTATTTCCCTTATGACTAACATTTTTTCTCTATCTTAAGACTAAAATATATAATATACAAAATATGTGTTAACTGACTGTTTATCAATAAGGCTTCCAGTCAGGAGTAGGCTATTAGTAGTTAAGTGTTTGAGAAGTGAACAGTTACAGAGATTTTTTACCATCTGTGGGTGCAGTAGAGGAGGGTGGTCAGCAGCTCTAAACCTGGTGTTGTTCAAGGGTCAACTATAATTATGTTCTGCAAGGTTCTTCACAGATTTTATTAGCAAGCACTAGTAAACAGAAAATGACTGACGGGTTAAGCAAAACTAATGGAAAGCTATGCTAAAATGTGATTAGGGAATAAAAGAGGGTATTTCAGAGAATGTGAGACGCTACTTTGTGAACAATTTAAAACATCCTTCTTAGAGATTCTATAGTAATACATATATTTTCTTAACTCCTAAAAAATTTATCTTTATATATCTTTAGAAAAAATTTAAGTCACTAACCATAATCCTTTCACCATTATAGAATACATTATATTTCAGGATTAATTATGAATTCATGGCACTTACATTCTGTTTCATGCTTATAGGCTCCTAATGTTAGCTGACGAGATGTTGTTAATAATTGCTGCATCATTGCTGTTGGGTCTTGAAATATCTAATGGGATAGAATGAAAAAAAGCCCAATAACTTCAAAGTTCTACAACTTAAAATGCTTTTAAAATTCTCATTATAAAATCCTCTTACCATTTCATCATAGAACTCTGAAACCACTGTCTTTTTTCCCAGCATTGCATTGGTGTCTGACTGAAACAGCTTTAATAAATGATAGAGGGTTACCTGTGAAATAAAAATAGATGTCACATCTGTGCAATGGTTTTCATCATTGTGAGACATCATGATTTCTGTAACTGAATTAGAAAGCAGAATTAGTTAACATGTCAAATTCAAGATCTTATCTCAACTACAAGTTACTGTGTGGCAAATCACTCAAATTCTGTACTTTTATTCTGTACTTTTATTTTCCTATTAGGTATTATTATCCATCCACATCTACTAAACATGAATGTTTTAAAGAGGGTAGGTATGGATGTCAGAAAACATCTCTACAGAGTAACTATGTAGAAAAATAACATGAAATACAACTATAGAAATTAAACTGGAAATTCACTAAGATATTAACTTTTTTACTTACACAAGTGAAATGAGATTAATTTTACAGTTATTCTGCCCAAGATTAAAGTTTATAAATTTATAGGGGGAGGAAAGATTTGACACTTTCAAAATAAATAACCAATACTAAAATGCTCAGTGAAGGCAAGATTATTTTCTCTGGTGATCTATAATATCATTACACAAATAACATAATAAACAAGTTTGTCAATGATAATTCACTTTGGTAGAACCAACATGTCTTCAAAATACACAGAAACAGGTATAATAAGACATCAAAGGAAAAGCTTTGCAGCACAATGTGTGATTACTTGAGCAAAATAAAACCTAGCTAATAAAACAGCAGAGTTGATATTAAAGTTGCAGAAACCAATCCAGAGGCCTCAAAGAATTTTCCAAAAGGTTAGCTTAAATAATTCTAAGAAGCATGCATTATTGCTATATTTAAAGCAGACAATTTGACGAGTTTCTCACGTAGACAGAAAGGAGATGAGACTACACAAGTGGACAAACCGTAATAGAGAAATTCACAACATGAAAACTCAAGGCAGAAAGCAGCATTACAGGTTGGAACCAGAGGAGACAGGGGGGATTCCAAGCCCAAAGTCAACAAGTACAGAAATCAAGAATGCTGTGTGGTGGCAGGGCCCATTAACCTTCCTTCTGCCATCACTCAGACATGAGACAGCACATCCTCCTGTGAAATTTAGATGTTTTTATGCAATCAAGTATGAGGTCAAAATAAAGATATTTTCAGTAGCAATGGCTGTGAAGGTTTCTCGGGCATTATTTCTGAAGAAATTCCTCTAGAGAAATGAAAAAAGCCTGAAACAATGAAGAAAAAGAATCATTTGTTATCACATAACAAAGTGACAGGTACTACTGAAAACTGAAAAATCCGAACTTGGAGATTCAAATATGTGAGATGCATGGGAGTAATTTCTAGAGAAACAGAAAACAATCATTGTGGTTTTCCTAGGGAAGGGGCCAGAGGTGGGAGAAAGATGTTATGGGTTGAACTGTGTCCCCTAAAAAGATATGCCGAAGCCCTAAGCCTCAGTACTAGTAAATGTGACCTTATTTGGAAATAGGTCTTTGCAGATGTAATAAAGTTAAGATGAGAGTTTTAGCTAAGACCCTAACCCAATATGACTGACGTCCTCATAAGAGACACAGAGACAAGGAAGGAGAGGAGCCAGACGACAATGGAGGCAAAGATTTTAGTTATGCCACCAGAGCCAAGCAACCCTCTGGGCTACCAGGAACTAGAAGGTGCCAGAAAGGATCCTTTCCTAGAAGATTTGGAGAGAGCATGGCCAATACCTTGCCTCCAGAACTGTGAGAATAAATACCTGTTGTTTTTAGCTACTCAGTTTGGGGTGCTTTGTTATGGCAGCCCTAAGAAACTCATGCAGGAGACTTGTATTTTTATTTATTTAATCTATTTATTTATCTATTTTAAGATTTTATTTATTTATTTGACAGACAGAGATCACAAGTAGGCAGAGAGGCAGGCAGAGAGAGAGGAGGAAGCAAGCTTCTGGCTGAACAGAGAGCCTGATGCGGGGCTCGACCCCAGGACCTGGGATCATGACCTGAGCCGAAGGCAGAGGCTTTAACCCACTGAGCCAACCCAGGTGCCCCTATTTATTTTTTTAAAGATTTTATTTATTTATTTGACAGATCACAAGTAGGCAGAGAGGCAGGCAGAGAGAGAAGGGGAAGCAGGCTCCCCGAAGAGCAGAGAGCCCGATGTAGGACTCGATCCCAGGACCCTAGGATCATGACCCGAGCCAAAGCAGAGGCTTTAACCCACTGAGCCACCCAGGAGCCCTGTATTTTTATTTTTAAAATCTTTTTTTAAATCATGTACATACTGTACTTTTATAATTTATGAATGATTTAAAACTGCATCATAAAACTAGCCTTCCTTGAATTTATTATTCAGACACTTAGAGGCATTCATGTAGATGCAGACAATGAAAAAAGTCAAGACAGATGTCTCTAATTTTAAGGGGTGTTTGAAGATTCTTAGATCAATGAAAATGCCTAAACTAGACACAAAGATATTTCTAGGAATAAAAACCCAAGTTCAGCATTTTGGTTTTTAGGAACAATCATCCCTTTTATAATGATTTGGTCTATAATCTATAATGGTTTGATCTATAGATTTTTAATCTATAACCGGGTAACAGGAATAAATCACATGTTACCTGTGTCTGTCTTTATTATTTTAAATAAAACATCATGACTTATTTTAAAAGAGCCAACAATTAAAGGGATGCCTGGTGGCTCAGTCATTAGACATCTGCCTTTGGCTCAGGTCACAGTCCCAGGGTCCTGGGATCAAACCCCGATCATTGCCAAGCCCTGCTTGGCAGGGAGCCAGCTTCTCCCTCTCCTGCTCCCCTGTGCTTGTGCTCCCTCTCTCTGTTATAAATGAATAAAATCTTAAAAAAAAAAAAAACAAAAAAAAAGCCAACAATTAAAAAAGTGTAATGGTTTCATTATACTAAAAGAACATGAGACGCAGTTTTTGGGTGATAAAATTCAGGCCTGTGTAGCTCTATATGGAAATCTATTCAATAAATTAATCACTGCAGAAGTACAATAACCACTCTTTCCAAGAGTGGATTTTGAGAGTTGTCTCATAACAATGTTATATGATATAATGATTTCTTTCAGAGATGTATTTTCCAATTGGGAGTGATGGATAGGACAGATGAAGAACAGGCAAGTAAGACAACACATTCTCAAAGTAAAAATGAATTCAGGTAATCTTACAAAGTTAAAAAGAGTTTCTGCACTAGTAGCATTACTGATTTCTTTTCCTTCTCTCTCAACATTTGCTGTATTTCTGGGTTCTATCCTTCCTAATAGACTATTTTCATTAAGGACAGGAGCAGAATCTCCTCTTTGTATCCTACGCCTTGAACAGTATCTTGGCAAGTAATGGATATTTAATAATTTCTTGCCAGATAGAATATAATGTCTGTTGCGAGTATTCTAGAAGAACAAAAGAATGATAGGACATCTGAAAACCTTATCACATGGAAAACATTTAAATGAGCTATAGATGTTATTTAGGAGAAAAGAAAATGAATATATGAATAGTTAGTTATCGGTAAAAAGTCCAAGGTGGAGCTTTTTTTCTTTTTTTTTAAGATTTTATTTATTTGACAGAGAGAGAGATCACAAGTAGGCAGAGAGGCAGGCAGAGAGGGGGAAGGAGGCTCCCTGCTGAGCAGAGAGCCCGATGCGGGGCTTGATCCCAGGACCCTGAGATCATGACCTGAGCTGAAGGCAGAGGCTTAACCCACTGAGCCACCCAGGCGCCCCTAAACTAGAGCTTTCTTACCACCAGAACTACCCCAGATCTGAATAGGATCTTTCACTTAATTGACAAAGTCAATAGTTTCTCTACTGGAGACAGCAAGCCCGAACAAGACTCATTTGAAAGACTGCCTAAAGGAATTCCTACGTAGGAGAAGTATGGCCTATACCTATGGGTCCTAAGTCTTAATGTGCACCAAAATCACACAGGTTATTTTGAGGGGTACTGGCCCCTCTCCAAACCTACTAAATCAGACTCTCCAGGGGATGGGGCCTAGGAGTTTGAATTTTTGAAAAACAACTCCAATATCTCTGGTGCAGTCCACTAGGAACTAATTCTCTGACTACAGGTCCAGGTCATAGCTCTGTTAGAAGCCCATACACTTTTAAAAATGTAATCTGATTATAAAAGTATAAATGTTTGGTGCTAAAGGAATGCACTGAATCTATCAAGATGAAAATTAATGGTGATGATCTGAAACTGGAGTTAAACACCAAACACACAAGTGGAATGGGAGCTATAACTGAGTTGTAACCCTATGGGTTTACAAACAAAACAAGCTGAGTAGTTTTAGTCCAAAGGAAGGATAATGCAAAGAATGTGAGGTCTGAATACAAATAAACTGGGTTCAAAAACTAGCTGCCACAATTAACTGTGTTTCTGAGCATATGACTTTATCCCTGAACCTTAGTATCCTCGTCTCTAAAATGATGATATCCTCAACCTCACAAAACTGCTGAGGGATCAAAGTGAACGTTTTGAGGGACTTTTTACATTATCAAGCAACAATCTGGTAAGAAGAGAACAAAAGAAAAAAAATCAGTGGTTGTAAATAAAAATTCATGCATAAAATAAAGCTGCTAGTAGTGATAGCAACTTAAAAAAGCAAAAACACTGTTGCTAGGGTTTTTAACTATAAAAACCAGATACTCTCTGGTGCCTGGGTGGCTCAGTGGGTTAAAGCCTCTGCCTTCGGCTCAGGTCATGATCCCAGGGTCCTGGGATCGAGCCCCACATCGGGCTCTCTGCTTCACAGGGAGCCTGCTTCCTCCTCTCTCTCTCTCTGCCTGCCTCTCTGCCTGCTTGTGATCTCTGTCTGTCAAATAAATAAATAAAATCTTAAAAAAAAATAAAACAAAACACCAGATACTCTCATTCTGAACAGCAGATGGACTCATCTTGTTTATTACTAATAATCAAATAATATTAATGAATTTTAAACTTTTTTTTTTTGAAGATTTTACTTATTTGATAGACACAGCGAGAGAGGTCACACAAGCAGAGGGGGTGGGAGAGGCAGAGAGAAAAAGGCTTCCCGCTGAGCAGGGAGCCCAATGTGGGCTCAATCCCAGGACCCTGGGATCATGACCTGAGCCGAAGGCAGATGCTTAACAACTGAGCTACCCAGGTGCCCTGAATTTTAAACTTCTGCTGTGGTAATCACATGATTCCATGGTTTCTTTCTGAGAAGTGTTCACATTATATCCCTTCTTTCTATAACTGAAAAATAAGTTTTGAAAGGTACTTCCCATAAAAATGAAAAACCTTAACTCATGGCAAAATACACCATGCTATAAGCTTACATAAAGTGTATCTGAATAAAAATGTCAATATATAACAAGCTATTCATTAAGTATGTTACATTTTCACAATTACAAAAATCTATTGTATGTTTACAAGGATTATCATTACTCACAGGTCTCTCATTAGGATCAATGAAAAATATTTTGATGATTATTTCAAATTCACCCCATCCTGTTTCAGTAATTTCATAGGGAGGTTTAGTAACAACTGAAGAGAAAAAAAATAAAACAATTATAAATTATAAATTACTGGTACAGTCTCCTACATCTTTTTAAATTTGTTAAATAAATTTTATATTATGAATCAAAAAACTGTACTGTACCTACCTCTTAAAGGATTGCCATAGCTTTCATGTAATTTAAATTGGATTTTCTTCACATATGCTGACATATCCTGAAATAGAGGAATTAGTTCTGTCATCTACATATAAAAACTACAAGGAAAATACACTGAGTATTGTACCTAATTTCATAAAATATACTTTCCCTCAAATATTACGGAATCTAATTTTCTTTTCTTTTCTTTTAATTCCAGTATAGTTAACATACAGTATTTTATTAGTTTCAGGTGTATAATATAGTGATTGAACAATTCCACATATCAACCAGCGGTCAACACGACAAGTGTATCCCTTAATCCCTACTGGAATCTATAATTTTCTAAAAAATGTGAATTATACCTAGGTTTGGTTTTTATTTTAAACAAAGGAGGCCTGAGTTGAATTCTTTCATAACGTAATATACAGGAACGTACATATCCCTAATTTACTTGTTTTGCAAATCCCATTTTTATATATCTCTACAATGCTCTAAAAAAAGTTTAAATATATAAATATTTATATTTATTTTATAAATCATATATAAATTAATATTATATAAAATATATGTGTCATAAATCATATATAAATTAATATTATATAAAATATATGTGTAAATATAATATATTTTATGTATATTACATAAAAATATTGTATATAAATATAAATAATAAAATAAATTTATACTTATTTATATTATTAAATATAAATATTGTTTTTATTTAAATATAAAAATAATTTATATAGACTTAAAATTTTTATGATTTATATATAAGATATATATTATATATGATATATAATACATAATAAAATTCATATAAATATTTAAAATTTTATATAAAATTTATATAAATATAAACATAATTTATATTTAAATATAAAATAATAGTACATTTCCAATATATTTTATAGAAATAAGAATATAAACTAAAGCACATCTAAGAACTAAGCAACTTTAAAGAATAAAATTATATTACGTAAAGCTAAGGTCAACTAAACTAAGTAACCTAAAACCATCAGATATAAGACTCCTCCTTTTCCTAATCTTATTTTGAAGCACAGAAGCACATTCAGTAGTTCTGACACATAAAGGGATACTCCTAGGGCAAGTGACTTTTTCAAAAAAAAATTTCATTGCAGAAAAATAAGAAAATGCAAAACTGAATCAGTCACACTTGACACTAGTGTTCATTAATCTTTTTACTTGCTTTTGCAAATTTTTTTCATATGATTATCTACATTTTTTTTAAAATTGGGGTCATAATGATATACTAACATCTACCCATTAGCACTCACTCCTAAATCCCTCTTCCACCCATGCACTGGCAACCACTAATCTATTTTCTGTGTCTATGGATTTGCCTATTCTGGACATTTTATTTTATTTATTTTTTAAAAGATTTTATTTATTTATTTGAGAGAGAGACAGTGAGAGAGAGCATAAGAGGGGAGAAGGTCAGAGAGAGAAGCATGGAGCTGGAAGCCCGACATGGGGCTCGATCCCCCGACTCCAGGATCAAGACCTGAGCCAAAGGCAGTTGCTTAACCAACTGAGCCACCCAGGCGCCCTATTCTGGACATTTTATAAAAATGGAATCATCCAATATACGGCTTTTGGTTTGGCTTCTTTCACTTACCATAATGTTTCTAAATTTATTACATGTGGTAGCAGCACATTTCAGTACTTTATTTCTTTTTCCTGCCTAGTAATAGTCCGTTGTATGGATATACCACATTTTACTTATCCATTCATCATCTGAAAGATACTTGGATTGTTTCCATTTTTTTGGCTATTATGAATGCTCCTGCTACAAACATTCATATACAAATTTTTGTGTGAACTTTAAACGGTTTTAAATCTACAAATATTCATTCAATGAATATTTGCCGAATACCTACTATGTACTGACTGTATTCCAGGCATTAGAGATTCAGCAGCCAAACAAAATTACCAGCAGCCAGATTATAGTTTGTCTTTCACCTTCCTGATGGTCTTATTACCAAATTGTTCCTAAAAAGTATGAACTACCCTTCCTGAAACACCTGATTAAATATGAAGCTAACTTAAGACAATGATTGGAAGATGTGCTGTGTTTATAGCATGGTTCTTGTTATCATAACTTTAGTTAGAAAACATTACTGGAAAATTGATTTCTACTAACAGTTATGTGAAGACAACTCTCACTTTATTCTTTCAACATCTGGGGGATGACATTTCTACAATGTGACAATTTTATAACCAGAAAGTTATCTATAATATTACAATTTATCTTCAATCAAAAACAAATGGTAGCTTCAAAAAAGTTACAGGAGAAACAAGTGCCTACCTCATTTCTATATGGTTTTACATACACTGTCCACTGATGGGTGTGCCCATCCTCTTCTCTTTTCTTTCCAAAATACCGAGCAACATTACCATAAACTATTGGTTTAACGATAGTAACCCCCTAAAAGAAAAATAATTTCAACACCAATTAATATTGCATCATTACCCAAATATACAGAATAAGAGCTCTGAAAACTTGTTTTAAGGAATGGCAAGCAATCTAAATAATTAGTTTATTTATATTTATATAAATTTATATAAATATATTTATAACATGGATTTCTCTCAACAAATCAGTATCAATTATCTTCATATTAACACAAGTAACTAAACACCAGATTAATTACAATGTCTCCATTTTTTAAATGTCTATTTAAATCATGTAAAATACTTTGATTTTTTTGTTTGTTTGTTTTGAAGAAAGGCTCTTTATTTACAAACTTTAAGTCAAGCCTTGGGAATTAAGACTGCCAATTGACTGCCATCACCTGATGGTAATAATGTCCTGATTTATCAGCTTACAGCAGTGTTTTCCAAAACACAGTACAAATATTAAAGGCAGTCTGGGAGAGGATTTTAGGTAGAATTAGGGCAAACATTTCTCAATTGATTACTCATGTATTAAGTTCTGAGATGTAAGTTCATGTTTCACATCACATCTGGTAAGTGTAGACGTGGTGACTATTGCCCAATTATCACGAAAAGGAGACAAAAAATTTCAAATGAGGAGAAAACGCTGAATATTGCACATGAAATTTGAGACTAATTGTTCAACAGTAAAAATGTATCTGAACATCAAAGAGCAAGATATACATACCACATATTAGAAGTGCTGTGCCAATGTACTCAACAACTTATAAGAGAGGAAAAGCAGTGAACAAATGGAAAAACTTTCCATTTTGTTTGGAAAATTAACAAATCCAGTCCCTATTAGCCTCAAGTTAGTTCAGAAGAAAGCAAGCAGTTTGTATGAGAATTTAAATAATCACAGTAAGTGCTACTTGACACTTGTGGCAACAACAGAAGGGGCATCACGTTCAAGGCATAAGGATAATGAGGAAAGAAGGAATAAATGAGCATAAGGAGCACTGGTGTGGGGAATAGATAAGAGATCCTGCAGCTATGACTGTGTTGCTGAGTGGATTTCCTCACGTGATGCAAACGGGGTTCATCTGTCAATAGACTTTCTCACTGAAGGAAATTAATCTAAATTGGGAAAAGATGCCTACAAAACCACATAACAATCATCAAGAATGAGAAATCCTGAACTCTAAAGCTTTACAGGACTAACTCACACACATTTTTGGTGGAAAAGCATTTGAAGATTACAAGCCTAATTTCCTCAAATCACTTTGGACTTTTTGAACGTTACACAATTACAAGTAGAGAAAGTTCCGCAAGTTCTCCAAAAGCTAATGTCCCAACCCCCTTCCAATCAGTCCAAAACCTTGCCCAAAGTTTGGGCAAGATATGTATTTATTAAGTTTCTGGTACTATAAGTTTTACCTGACATCTTTTCCGTTCTATTAAATTTTGGTAGTTTCTGAAATTTTCCAAAACCTTCTACTTTGCATGTGGTATTAAAGCACTGTGCATAATAGCTGTATACACATAGAGTCAAAATTATGTAAAAACAGTGCGACACTGATAAGGACACTGATAAGAGTAACTAGATTGGTGCAAACGCGCGATTTTTTTTTTTAAATTTTCCTTTCTGCAGTAAATATAAAATCAGAAGGCGTAAAAATAGGTGTTCTATCAAGAACTCGAAAGCCCTGCCTTAAAAACTCATGTGCCAGGGGATGTAGGAAAGTGGGAGGGAAATGTGTCAGTGTCAAACATTATGTTAGGCTCCACGTTAACAACTTTCACAATAAAAAACTCACATTTACTGAATGTTCTCTATGTGCGGGCCAGTATTTGTTCTCTGCGTGCCTTGCTTAATATCTTGGCCGAACCTTTGGGGCTTTGTGGACATCATGAACTCGGGCAAGTTTTCTGAACTTTTCTACACCCCTCCCCCCCGCAGTTCCTTCAGTTCTCGCACTTGCACGTGTTATGTGGGCAAGCCTTTCTAAAGCTGCTACAAGGACAGAGTCACAGAATCGGGTAAGGCGCTTGGCTACACTGCTTGGCACGGTTAAGCGCAGAATCCAGTGTCTGCTGTTATTACCCTCACAATCAGGTGGATGGCACCCCCAGTTTACCGGTGACCGGGGCTGGCAGAAGCGCACCAAGCCCTCAACGGAGCTCTTTTCCTCGGCAACAACGTCCAGTTCTCCCCGAAGCCACCACTGGCTTTTGGGGCGGGGAGGGAATGGGGTTTGAGAGGCGGTCAAATCGCGGCCAAAAGTCACACTGATTTTCCCGCAGCGGCTTTGACTGGCTCTCCATCTAGAAACCACCGTTTGGAACCCGAGCTGAGAAGGCGCGAGAGGGAAGCCACCGTGCCCTCCCCACGCAGCGCAGGGCGGAGCCAGAACCTGAGAGCCATTCCCGGAGGGGAGGTGCGTGCCGGGCACTGACCTTCACTCTCCCGCCGGAGTCAGGCCCAAATTCGGCCATTCTCTTGAACATATTGTCCTACGGAAGAAGCCGCCGCCGCCAGGGAAAGAGACGGGGGCCGGCGGGGTCGCCGCTCCCCTCAGAGGCCCCGCTCCTCCCGCGCGGGCCGAGGCGGATGGCCTCTGGCGGAGTGAGGGCGAGTCTCCGGGGCTCGCGGCGCTGAGGAACCGCCAACTCCTCGCGGCGGGCAGCGTCCCGGAAGCGCGTTTAGTCCCGCGCCGTGATGAGCCCAACGGAAGGAGCGGTGGTGGCGCCGTGCGCAGGCGCGAAGAGGTGGCGCTCGGAGGGCGCAGGCGCCCGGCCGGGGCTCTGCGGAGGGAGGGCCTCGGTGGCGGGAAACCGCTGGAGGCCGGGCGGTGGGGTTACCGCGAGGACCCGCCGGATAACTTGGATATGGAACAACTGAGAAGTCGGCTTTTGGAGCCAATACCTTATCATCCCTAAAGAGTGAGGATTTTAGGGAGCGCCTAGGTGGCTCAGATGGTTTAGCGTCTGCCGTTTGGTTGGGTCATGATCTTCAGGTCCTGGGATCTAGCGCCAAGTTGGGCTCCCAGCTCAGCGGGGGTCTGCTTCTACCCTCCCTGTGCCTCTCCCCCTGCTTGTGCTCTCTCTCTGAATAAATTAAAAAAAAAAAAAGTATTTTGAAATAAAGTTAAACTCTATTCGCCTGCCCACAGCTTTTCATTGTATTCATCCAGACCTCTGGGGTTGAATGGCTTATTTCTTATTTAATCCCTTTATTTTTGCTTTCTTTGACACTCTTGAGTTTATTGTCCAAGGTCCATAACTTGACACAAACCTTACCCCTATAGCCTGTTCAGTGGCACCCATAACTGCGCAGATTACCTGCACTAAATTAATGAAGTCAAATCAATTGAAGCCTTAGATGCTTGCCAGAAGTTCTCGCTCCTTTTTATCCCCTAGTTACTTTAAAATTTTACCCAGTCTCAAACCTCCAACTCTGACATCAACCTGCTCATTCTTATCAGATGACTGCATGTAATCTCATAGAGAAAACAAACCTCCACACCCGAAAACCTAAACACAAGATTTGGTTTGCTCAGTATCTTCCATCCCTTTTCTTGTTTAAGAGAGAATCTTCTTTCAGTTTAAAAACAGTTCTTCAGTCTTTTTTGCTTCTTCAAGGATTTTTTCCCCATCAATCATACCCACTCCACCTGTATCTTCAGCTTTTCCTCTACTTTGGCTTTTTCCCATAAAAGTTAGGTTTAAATCTTTCTCATTGAATACAGTATGGGGGGAGGGGGGCTGGCTGGCTCAGTGGGTTAAGCACCTGACTCTTGGTTTAGGCTCAGGTCATGATCTTAGGGTTGTGGGATCCAGCCCCAGTGTTGGGCTCCATGCTCAGCTGTGAGTCTGATGGAGATCCTCTCTCTCTTCCTCTCCTCCTCCCTCTAAAATAATTAAATCTTGAAAAACAAACAAACAAACAAAGAAACAATATGGAGGTTCCTCTAAAAGTTAAAAATAGAACTACCCTTCCACAGCAACTTCTTTCAAGATATGTCTCCGAAGGCAAAGGAAACAAAAGCGAAAATGAACTTTTGGGACTTCATCGAGATCAAAAGCTTCTGCACAGCAAAGGAAACAGTCAACAAAACAAAGAGGCAACCCACGGAATGGGAGAAGATATTTGCAAATGACACTACAGACAAAAGGTTGATATTCAGGATCTATAAAGAACTTCTCAAACTTAACACACACAAAACAGATAATCATGTCAAAAAATGGGCAGAAGATATGAACAGACACTTCTCCAATGAAGACATACAAATGGCTATCAGACACATGAAAAAATGTTCATCATCACTAGCCATTAGGGAGATTCAAATTAAAACCACATTGAGATACCACCTTACACCAGTTAGAATGGCCAAAATTAGCAAGACAGGAAACAACGTGTGTTGGAGAGGATGTGGAGAAAGGGGAACCCTCTTACACTGTTGGTGGGAATGCAAGGTGGGGCAGCCACTTTAGAGAACAGTGTGGAGATTCCTCAAGAAGTTAAAAATAGAGCTTCCCTATGACCCTGCAATTGCACTACTGGGTATTTACCCCAAAGATACAGATGTAGTGAAAAGAAGGGCCATCTGTACCCCATAGTTTATAGCAGCAATGGCCACGTTCACCAAACTGTGGAAAGAACCAAGATGCCCTTCAACAGACAAATGGATAAGGAAGATGTGGTCCATATACACTGTGGAGTATTATGCCTCCATCAGAAAGGATGAATACCCAACTTTTGTATCAACATGGACGGGACTGGAAGAGATTATGCTGAGTGAAATAAGTCAAGCAGAAAGAGTCAATTATCATATGGTTTCACTTATTTGCGGAGCATAACAAATAATATGGAGGACATGGGGGGATGGAGAGGAGAAGGGAGTTGAGGGAAATTGGAAGGGGATGTGAACCATGAGAGACTATGGACTCTGAAAAACAACCTGAGGGTTTTGAAGGGGCGGGGGGTGGGAGGTTGGGGGAGCCAGGCGGTGGGTATTAAGGAGGGCATGTATTGCATGGAGCACTGGGTGTGATGCAAAACCAATGAATACTGTTATGCTGAAAAGAAATTAAAAAAAAAAAAAAAAAAAGAACTACCCTAGATCCAGCAATTGCACTACCAGGTATTACCCAAAGGATACAAAAATATGGATTCGAAGGGATACATGCACCCTGATGTGTACAGTAGCATTATCAATAATGGCCAAATTATGGAAAGAGCCCAGATGTCCATCAACTGATAAATGGATAAAGAAGATGTGGTATAGGGGTGTCTAGGTGGCTCAGTCCTTTAAGCCTCCAACTCTTGATTTCAGCTCAGGTCATGATCTTAGGGTCCTGGGATCAAGCCCTTGTTGGGCTCCATGCTCAGCAGGGAGTCTGCTTCAGGATTCTCATTCTCCCTTGCCCTGTGCTCTTCCTTTTGCTTGTGCACACATGCTCACTCTCATTCCCTCTCAGTCGTCAAAGAAAGACAAATACCATATGATCTCACTCATAGGTGGGATTTAAGAAACAAAACAGATGAGCATGGGGGGAAGAGGCAAACCGGGAAACAGAGTCTTAACTAGAGAAAAAACTGTTACTGGAGGGGAGGTGGGCAGGGGATGGGTTAAATAGATTATTGTATTAAAGAGTGAACTTGTGATGAGCACTGGGTATTGTGTGTATGTATAATATATGTATGTATGATGAATCACTAAATTCTAAATATTACACTGTATGTTAACTAATGGAATTTAAATAAAAACTTGAAAAAAACTTTTCTTTAAAGATTTTTTTATTTATTCATTTGACAGATAGAGATCACAAGTAGGTAGAGAGACAGGCAGAGAGAGAGGAGGAAGCAGGCTCCCCGCTGAGCAGAGAGCCCGATGTGGGGCTCAATCCCAGGACCCTGGGATCATGACCTGAGCCGAAGGCAGAGGCTTTAACCCACTGAGCCACCCAGGCGCCCCGAAAAAAACTTTTCTTATTAAAAACCAACCAACCATTTTTAATCCTGCCTATCTCTATTTTTGTATTATCCATAAAAGTCAACCTTGAAAAGGCTCTCAATAGTTCCTATTTGTTTCCATATGCTCCTCAGTCCATCACCTTCTGAATTTCATCCTCACTGAAACCTCTCCAACCATAGTTACTGACCTCTCTATTAGTAAATCAACCACTTTCCCTTAATTCCTTTGACTTCCCGGCAGGATTTGACTCTGCTATCCACTGCTTCCCTTTGTGATGACCATTTCGTGGTTTTTCTGTTGTTTCTCTGCCAGCTGATTTCCAGATGGTTAGTCACTCTCTTCTCTATGTTCCCATAGTGGCTAAGGATTGTAACACTTACCATGTTCTATATTAATAATTTTTGAGGACTATAACTGTATCTTATTCACCTTAGTATTCGTATGCCCTAGTGAACATTTCTTGTGCCTAATAATCAATTTGTTGAATAGTAAATAACTGAAAAATGGAGAAGTCAAGAAGACTTGAGGCTACTTTCCAAAGGTAGTTGAAACCAGTGAGATTTGTTAAAACACACTGTCCTACAAAATCCTTCACATCACAATACAGGATTTCTTTGTCCCCTGTACCCTCACCTGAATTTGATCTTTTTCAAACTATGGCTATCAGAATGTGATCTCTGGAAACCAAATTTGCCCTTTAAATTTATTACTCTAGCTTTCTTCTTTCCGCTTTTCTCTTGTTTCTCAGAAGATTTTTTATTCTTTGCTTAAAATCTTACCCTAAGCATGTTTGAAATAAAATAACATTTAACAAAACAAAATTAAGCAAATACATAAAACATATTGGGAAATTTGGTGAAAAGATAATGAATTGAATACACAACTTTTGCCTCCTCCCAAAACTCCTTTAAAGCAAGTGAAGAAACTTTCAAAAATGCATAAACCTGTAAGGATAAGAGGAATGAAGGGGAAAAAAACAAAAAAAAAAAAAGAATGTGAGAGAAGGCAAAACAATATCTTGAAATCTGGACTACAAATGGTGGTATAGGGCAGTTCTGAGAGCTGAGCAGTCAAAGCTAATTACTGTCCCTCCTCCCCACCAAGTCTCAAGAATTTGTAGTTGTGGGGAATCTCTGGACATGAGGGGAAGGAGATGTAAGATAGAAGCTGACAAAGACGGATTGAGAGTCTGTTTCCTGGGTGGCACAGTTGGTTAAGCCTCAGGCTCTTAGTGTCAGCTCAGGTGGAGATCTCAGGGTCTTGAGGTCAAGCCCCCCTTTGGACTCCACGCTCAGCGTGGAGTCTGCTTTAGATGAGATTCTCTCTCCCTCTCCCTCTGCCCCTCCCATGCGTGCTCTGTCTCTCCCTCTCTCTCTAAAATAAATAAATAAATCTTTTAAAAAGAAATATTAATATAATTAAGCAGTTACCTCTTATTTACTTACCACCGAGGAATAAAACAGGAAAAACATGGTCTCTGTTTTGGAGAACACTAGGTAGAGTTGAAGGAGGAATACCATGCAGAAAATAGGTAGACTAATGAAACATATGCTTGCCAACCAGGACCTCTGTCCTTCACTTAACTTTTAAAATGCTAGCAACCAGGCCTTTGTTTTCTAGCAGGCAATAGGAAGAGGTTTTTCTGGGGAATCTGACCAGGCTAAGAGAAGAGATCTAAGGATCCTGATGAAAGTAACTCAACACAGCTTGATCATCCTTCAGCAAAGTATGCACAGTCAAATCCATATAGGCTCTTAGAACTCAAAATTAAACTTTTAGTTTTCCACTCCTAATAAGCAGATAACCAAGGATTATCAAATAACTGAGAAATGCTCTAATATGAAAGATATAATTCAGGGACGCCTGGGTGGCTCAGTTGGTTAAGCAGCTGCCTTCGGCTCAGGTCATGATCCCAGCGTCCTGGGATCGAGTCCCACATCGGGCTCCTTGCTCATCAGGGAGCCTGCTTCTCCCTCTGCCTCTGCCTGCCATTCTGTCTGCCTGTGCTTGCTCTCTCTCCCTCTCTCTCTCTGACAAATAAATAAATAAACTCTTTAAAAAAAAAAAAAAAAAAAAGAAAGATACAATTCAAAATAAACAAAATGGTGTTTTAGAGGAAACATAGGGAAGTAACGTAAAAACAAACAGAACAGAACCATTATTATTACTATATTCAGATAAAATAAAAAATAGTAAATATGACACAAAACATTTAGAGAACAAAAGAGAGCTATTGGAAATTTAAAATATGATAGAAATGAAAAAAAAATCAGTTAAAAGTTCAGATGGTAGGGTGCCTAGGTGGCTCAGTCAGTTAAGTGTCTGCCTTTGGCTCAGATCATGATTCTGGGGTCCTGGGATTGAGTTCTGCATTGGGCTCTCTGTTCATCAGGGAGTCTGCTTCTCCCTCTGCGATCCCCCCTCCTCTCCCACCCCCCACAGGTGCTTGCTTTCTCTCTCTCACAAAAACAAATAACAAATAAAATTTAAAAAAAAAAGGTCAGATGATAAAATCAAAGAAATCTCTCAGAAAGTAGAACAAAAAAACAAGAAATGGAAAAGAGGGAAGAAAACACAAGAACATCTGTATTAGTTTGCTAGGGCTGCCATAACAAAATACCACTGGCTTGGTGGCTTAAACAACGGAAATTTATGTTCTAACAGTTGTAGAAGCTAGACATCTAAGATCAAGTCATTGTCAGATGGGGTGTCTCCTGAGGCCGTTCTCCTTGGCTTGCAGAGAGTGACCTTCTTGCTATGTCCTCATATGGCCTTTTATCTGTGCATACACATAATTGGTATCTCCTCCTCTTCTTATAAAGGCCTACTGGATTGGGACACCAGCCTTATGACCTCATTTAATTACCTTAATTACCTCTTCAAAGGCCTAATCTTTATATACAGTCACAGGGAGTTTAGGTGTTCAACATACGAATTTTAGAGGGATACGATTCATTCCGTATAACTACATCAGATGACCGGGCTAGGAATTCCAAAGAGAATGAAGAAACTGGAAGGAAAGAAATAATCAATATATGATTCAAGAAAGTTTTTCTTGTACATTTCCTGTTACGAGGTTCTAAGCTGAAAGATCCTACCAAACACCCAGAACAAAAAATGAAAACAGATCCACATCAAGGCACATCATCTCGAACTTCACAACACTGAAGAGAAAGAGATCATAGATACTTCCAGGTTATAGATTCAGAATGGCTTCAGATGGCTCAGTAGCAACCCTGTAATCTAAGGGAGCAACGGATTTCCCTAGACTCAGTTCTGCAAGTAGTCCCATTTCAATAGACCACTTTCAAAATGCTGAAGAGAATTAATTCCAGCTTAATATTCCATGTCCAGCCAACTATCAACCAAGTGTGTGAATAGAACAAAGACAATTTCAAACATGCTAAGTCTCAAAAAAGTACCTTTCATGAACCCTTTCTCAGGAAGACTCTGGAGATATGACCCACCAGAAGGAAGAAATAAACTAAGGATGCAATTATGAAATACAGGAAACACAATAAATGTCAAATACGGAGATAAGAGAATCCCAAGGTGATGCTGAAAGAGCAAGGCCAGGATGATAGCACAGACAGAAACCAGTTCCAGTTAGATTTGGTGGGAAATCTTTGGGAATTACTGCTTCAAAAAGATGAAATTGGGGTTTCTGTCTGGCTCAGTCAGAAAAGGATATGACTCTGAGCTCGGGGTCATAAGTTCAAGGCCACACTGAGTGTAGAGATAACTTCAATAAATAAATAAACAAGAAGAAAAGGATTAAATTGACAAAATTCTAGCTGCATTGAAGCCTTCAGAGAATATTTAAATACTTAATACTTGGGCACCTGGGTGGATCAGTTGGTTAAGGCACTGCCTTCAGCTCAGGTCATGATCCCGGAGTCCTAGGATTGAGTCCCACATCAGGCTCAGCTCCATGGGGAGTCTGCTTCTCCCTCTGACCTTCTCCTCTCTCATGCTCTCTCTCTCAAATAAATAAATAAAATCTTTAAAAAAAATACTTAATACTTAATGTTTAAATATTAGACCTAGAGTTTGGGAAGTAAACCAATGAGATACACAGAATACTAAGCAAATTTAAGAGCCATGCACTTATTAGCTCTAGGGAAAATACAATCTTTCACTAGATAAGAAAATAATTGTATTTGTGACTATGTAAATACTGAGTATTTGCCTAACAAAAATGTATAATTACATTGGAAGGATGGGCATTGGGGAAGGGTGCCATGTATGATGGAGATTGAGGAGGAGGAGGAAATAGAGACTAATCCTTAACTTCCACAGTGGAAAGTCAGCATCCTAATAGTCCAGGATAATAGAAAAATCAAGAAAAAGCAATATAAGCCTAATACTTAAAAGCATGATGGTAAATATTAAAAAGAAAAAACATTAAAAGAGTAGAAAGCAGTTGCATGTAAGGGGGAAGAAATGAGGAGGTACATCTTTCATAAATTTTGTGGAACTATCTGTCTCTGTAAATATTGAGAATTTATAACCTTATTAAAATTAAAAATGAGGGGCACCTGGGTGGCTCAGTGGGTTAAAGCTTCTGCCTTCGGTTCAGGTCATGATCTCAGGGTTCTGGGATCGAGCCCCGAATCGGGCTCTCTGCTAGGCAGGGAGCCTGCTTCCCTTCCTTTCTCTCTGCCTGCCTCTCTGCCTAGTTGTGATCTCTGTCTGTCAAATAAATAAATAAAATCTTAAAAAAAAAAAAGAAGACGACAAATAAATAAATGAGTAAGACAGGTAGTCTATCAAATGGCTATAGTCTTGAGTGCTAGGGCACTACCTCAGTTAGAAACTAAATAGCAGAAGAAAGGCCAGCCAAGGATTGAGAAGGTGGAATCCGTGAGACGAGATGTGAACCAGAAGGAGGAGAAGGTGAGGGAGAAAAAGCTTTCTAGAAGGACGAAGTGGTTCACTTAGCCAAGTGCTGCTGTAAGATCATGTGAGATGAACAAGATCACTAGAATTGGCCCCAAGGAGTCACAGGAGGAGTGCTGAAGGAGAGGTTTCAGCTGACTGAGGACAGCAGCCAGGTTAAGAAGGTTGGAAAAGAGAATGAGAGATGAGGATATGCAGTCAGTGTGGCATGGATCTCTCATCCCCGAAGTCAGAATGATGTAGTTAGATGCTTGTGTGGGGGTAACGGAGGTTTTTTAAGATGCAAGTTTTCCAGCACGTTTTGTACAATGGCAGGGGATATCCAGCAAAGAGAGAGAAGCTCAGGGTGCAGGAAACACTCCACTAAAGGAGCTGTGAAAGGGATGCAATCCAAGATTGCATGTGGAGACTCTGCCATTGGCCAAAGCAAAGGAAGAGAGTCTGGGCCCAGGGGAAGTGTGACCGCTGTCACAGTGGGAAGGAGGGAAGAATTTTGTATGAGTTTGCTTCTATTTTCTCAGCGTAGTATGAGGCCAGGTCATCTACTGAGAACAGAGAGGGTGGAAGGTAAGCAGTTGGATGTGTGTGCCGGGGCTTTGAAGAGAGAGGAAGAGAAGTAAAACTCTCCCCTTTGGAGAGTGGGGACACCAACACAGGAGTGCAGAGGAGTGACTCAGATGACCTTGCAGACAGAGGGCCCATGTAAGATTTGTGGTTATCAAAGTGAGATCCAGAGCACCTGGGTGCCTCAGTCGGTCAAGCATCTGCCTTTGGCTCAGGTCATGATCCCAGAGTCCTGGGGTCGAGCCCAGTGTCGAGCCCCAAGTGGGGCTCCCGATACAGCGGGGAGTCTGCTTCTCCCTCTCCCTTGGCCACCCCTCCGCCCCTGCTCATGCTTGCTCTCTCTCTCACTCTCTCTCTCAAATAAATAAATAAAATCTTAAACAAAATAAAGTGAGATCCATCAGAATGCGTGTGGAATTTTCCCCCAGCAATATCCAGCTGTTTGGGTATAGGTAAAGATATAAGGTATATTAAGAGTACCAAATAATTCTTTTTTGAATACACATATTTTTTTCTTCATAGACACTAGTTGGGTCTAAACAAAGAACGACAAGTTATGAGTTGCAAAACTTTTAATGATAATGTTTGTATTATTTTTATAACATGCGTAATTTCACACCTGTGGTTAATCAGCAATTATTTCAATACTTGCAAAGTCATTTGCCTTAGCATTTAGTCATAATGCGCAAATCTAAGTTAAAAAAAAATCAAAGAACAGCAACAGCTCATCTAATCCTTCTTTATATTCCTTCATGATCAGAAAGATGCCTAGAAGAGTTCTTTAAAGGGCCAAAATAGATTGACATATAAACTGTCAACTTATTTTTAAAGCAGTATGAAAGCAACACTTCTGAGAAAATATTTAAACCAAGGTCACACTTTAGAAAAACAGAATTCTTAATTCAGGCTGTCTTCACTTTTAGCCATTTGGCATTCTGCTCCTTTTTAAACTTTATATTGCCCAACAGAGAGTGTTTTTTTGTTTGTTTTGTAGTTTTTCAGTTTGCTTTGTTGTGGTTTTTTGTTTTGTTTTGTTTCATTTTGTTTTTTACTGCTTTTGGAGATGACCGAACAGATGCCTATTCAGCTAGAGTTTTGCCTAAGATCAGTTTGTTTTTAAGATAATCTTTTTTTACATTTTTATGAACTATTGGGGAGTACTAACGATTAAGTTGGGGTTATTTCTTTAAGAACTGAATATACTGGAGATGTATTTGATAGGCAAGACTTTAGATAAGTTTTCACCAGCATTATTTCTATTAACAAACTGAATAATATTACAGGCTATCAAATAATACTAAACACATTTCTTAAACATGAAGCCTTTTAGAAGAAAGACCATATTTTGTTACTGCTTCTGTAGAAGTGTTATTGTTTGACAGGATGGTAATGTGACCTTTCACTCAACTACTACTACTCCCTTAATATGAAAAAGAAACAGAATGAGCTGCAGAAGGAAAACTCCAGTTAGACTCCACAATTCCGAACATACTGAGAGACATCTTGGTTTTCGCAGTGTGCTTTCCATGCCACCCTGTGGAGAAAAGTGAAATAAACGCTGGTAAGGTTAAAACATATCTTCCTTGTAATAGATACACTTCAAATCCTCTGGGAGAACAGAGTGTTTTACCGGTAAAGGGACAACAGGCTACAGATAGATTCAAGTATTGTTATTTATTAAAGGGAGGTATGTACACCAAGTATGTCGCTTCCCCTCAAAGCCCTCACTAGAAAACAGGATGCTGAACATGAACGTTGATCTATGCATTCTATAATAGCGACTGCAAAGTCCTTTCCACATTTACTTAACTCCGAAAGTAATTTCAAGATAAGACAACGAACTGGTAGAATGTTGAGAATCTTAAAAACTCCAGAAATCCTCTGAAATAAATCGAAGAGGAAAAGAGTTAAGATTCTAAACCAGATGAAACATTTTTTTTCTACCTAATTCATTGTTTAGGGTCAAGTCTAAAGCTGCAACGTTCAGTTCTCAATACCATACTTCAGTCTTTGAAAATCTTCTCTCACTTCTCTCTTACCACTAGGACAAAATAGCTGTCCTTATTTATTTATTTAATCTTTTGAAAAAGAGAGTGGCGTGAGGGAAGAGGAAGGGCAGAGAGAGAGAGAGAGAGAATCTTAAGCAGGCTCATGCCCAGTGCAGAGCCCAACATGGAGCTCCAACCCAGGACCCCGAGATCATGACCTGAGTGAAATCAAGTTTCGGAAGCTCAACCAGCTGAGCCACCCAGTCACCCTCCCTCTCTACACCACCCCCTTCTTCATCCCCAGATCTTAATGCTTAAACATACCATGCACGAATACCATTTGGATCCCTGACAACTCTCTTTGCACATGCTACAGCTTGAGTGATGTCATCTTTCAGCAAATCTGAAAAAGAGGTGGTGAGGAATGAAAACAACTGCCATAGAAATTTCATTGTAAGTTAAGATTTAGTCAGCTTTATTCTCTTAGGAGGAGGAAAGAACATTAAAATTATTTTCCAAGAGTCCATTTATCTGTAGATGTTGGGGGAAATTTTTTCTTCATTCCATCCCATTTGGCATGGAACAAAACATTTTGTTTCTCATTTACCAAAGTCATGGGAAGCTCTGGAATTGTTAACTAATGTGACAGAAGGTTCTCTGTTCACTAGGCACTGTAAAAACAAAAACAAAAACAACAAACAAAAAAACCAAACACAGACTAGCAATTTTTAAATCAGAGTCCTACTACCAGAAATCTAGCCTAAAGAAATGATTAAAAAATGCACCCAAAGTGTATGCACAAGACGTTTCATAGCAATGGGGCACCTGGGTGGCTTTCTCACTGTGTCTCTGTCAAATAAATAAATAAAATCTTAAAAAAAAAAAATCATTCGACAAAAACAAAAAACAACATCACCACCACCATACATATAAAAAAGGTAAAAATGACAAAGTGTTAACAACTGTTAAAGTATGTGATGAGCATATGGCTGTTTTCTATACTAAAGTCCCAAAATTTCTATATGTTTAGGACATCTCAAAATAAAAAGTAAAAACAATTTTTAGAAAAGAGCCACACAACCAAATTATCCCTAAACCTCCCCAAAGAAAGTGGGAGAAACGGCATTGTTTTCAACAAAGCATCAATGTGCTCATTTACGATAAATTAATAGATCATTTTAGAAGCTGGTGTACATTAGAAAACATGAACTTTTATGATATCATCAGCTATTTAATTTCTTAAGTAATTAGGAAAGGAATTTTAAAGAGTTTCTAGGCACTAAAATAAAGTTTTTCTTGGACCCTGATGAATCTTTTAAGACTTGTTCATTTGCACTGAACCTCTGTTCTCATAAGTGTGATTGATTCCTGTGCCGTCACTCAGACATAGTGTCTCTTACCGCTGCACGGTATGCCACAGGCGTTCACGGCTCTGGGCGTTTTGCCATCATTACACCAGTAGCGGCTATTGATCTGAAATATCCCATAATCGGTGCTTTGGCTTCCGGGATTGTAGTTTGTAGCCTTTGTGTTATAATCACTTTCCCATTTGGCCAAACACATCCCTGAAAAAAACGTATTTTTAGTAAGAAACATCAACACCACATTATGTATTTCACAGACTATAATCAGTTCTATTTTGCTATTCTATTTCATTAATGACTTATTTTATAAATAGAAAGGTGTGTTTTCCTTGTAAAAAATATATCTATATTTAAGGTTTTATTTTTTTAAGTAATCTCTATACCCAACATGGGGTTTGAACTTAACAACCCTGAGATCAAGAGTTGCATGCTCCGCTAACTGAGCCAGCCAGGTGCCCCCAAATATATTTTAACACTTTAGGGAGAATCCTTTTGTTAGCAGATCATTTTGTAATACTGATGAACTAGATAACATACTTTTAAAATATTAAAATAGGGGCACCTGGATGACTCAGTCAGGTAAGGGTCTGCTTTCGGCTCAGGTCATGATCCTGGGGTCCTGGGTTTGAGCCCCATGTCAGGCTCCCTGCTCAGCAGGGAGTCTGCTTCTCCCTCTGCCCTTTACTGCACTCCTGCTCTCCCTGTCTCTCTTTCTCAAATAAATAAGTAAAATATTTTTTTAAAAAATTAAAATAGCTGTTTCTTCCTTTGCCATTATCCTTCCCCTGCTCCCATCCCTCAGGCAAGATTTAGCCTAGAATGGAAAAATCAACAGAGTTGTTGAGTGGATTTTATAATTAATAGCAGATATATACATACGCTGATGGAAACATGCTTTTTATTAGGAAAAATAAGAATTTTCTGGGAGAAATAAATTTTCTTAAGATATCTAAAGGTGAATTTGGTTATCAAATCAAGAATCTAAAAAACGAGAGATATAAATAGGAAAGACTATTTCATCCATCCATCCACTCGTTCATTCAAAAGTAGTTATTGAGAGGAAATTTTTGAATTCAACCTGGAAAATACAGTGATCACATTGACAAATATGAACTAAAATATACAGTAACTTTTGCTCAGACATATCTTGAATTATGTGGAAGAGAGTGAAAAATAGTTAATAAACTATATTAAGAATAATAGGGACTCCTCAGTGACTCAGTTGGTTAATCATCTGCCTTTGGCTCAAGTCATGATCCCAGGGTCCTGGGATGGAGTCCACATCGGGCTCCTTGCTCAGCAGGGAGCCTGCTTCTCCCTCTTCCTGCCGCTCCCCTTGCTTGTGCTCTCTACCAAATAAATAAATAAAATCATTAAAAAAAAAAAGAATAATAAAAGATCATTACAAGCTGCATTTCAGGGATCCTTATATAAACAGTAATTGAAGGGAAAATAGTTTCCAACTGCCCTTGCACAGAGAATTCAACATAGGGTTGCTGCTAAAAATCCAATGTCATGGCAGAGAAAAATATTCGTTGCTCTAGACTCATTACCCTCGGAACCAAGTTGTAAACAGGAAATGCCTGTCGTCAAGTACCAAGGACTTGATAGATATTCCAGGAGCTCAGACAGACCTTCCAGTCAGCCCACATGGGCCACGGAGTCTGAGGCAACTGACAAATTTTGCAGCACCAGAAGAGCACAAGGGGTCCTGCTGTCCTTAGAATGGCAGAGGCTTTTGCCCTCCCTTGCCTTCATCCCTTCATCTGGTGTATCTGATTCTAAAGAAACAAGTTGATATTTTTCACCACTGTAAGTATACAGACCCTCAGAAGAAATAAAAGAAGCCCATTTACTCAAAGCCTCTTTACTACTATTCATCCTCTATCTGTCCCACACCTGGCTAACCATTTGCAAGTAGGAAAAAGTTAACTTACAGTTGGCCAGGCTGACACCTCTATAGCCACCCAGCCCAAGTCTTTTCAGAGTCCTGGCCAGCTCACACCTTTCAAAGATCTTGCCCTGGACAGTGACGGAAAGGAAGAGAATCCCGAGAAGAAGGAGAGCCTTCATGTTGACTGGGAAGCCAGACCTCCAGGCTGACCTGGGAGAGCAGTCCTCGGTATTTAACATCTTTTAACTTCCTTTTTCTCCTGGTGGTTTGGGGGTCCCACCCTTTGGGAGATGTGAAAAACAGGAACTCTTTATTGGTTCACAGACATTAAAAGCTCTTTTTTTTTTTTTTTTTTTTTTTTACATTTGAAAAGAGCTATTCTGATGTTCTAAGAATTAACCTACAGGAAACTGATGAAATGGTATTGTTTAAAGACCTGGCTCAGGAAGAAATGGGAAGTAGGATGGTTTCCAAACCAGGAACTGTCTCCTATTTTATTATGAATTTGAACAAATACAAAGAAAAAAAAAAAATCCTGAATGAACATTTCACACAACAGAAAAAGAACTCCAATTTTTGATTTTGCATTCACTATGTTGTCTTTATCTTTTTCACTTAAAATTATTTTCTACACTCTTTCCCCAAAAGCACATACCATGTTACCTATGATTTTAATGGGTATAGATACAGCATACCATATTGCTCAGCCATATTTCCACTCTAAGTTTTTTGTTGCTATTATCCATTTTGCTTATAAATCAGTGTTTTACTGTTTCAGATAAGCCTCATGGCTTTTTGACAACTTTTTAACAGTGCCTAATCTTACATTGTAATCTTAGAATATAAGGGATCATTATAAAGCAAGGGAATTTTATAATCAAACCTTTGGCACCTGAAAATCTTCCCTTTTGGCATCAGGATTATTTTGAACTGAAGGCAAATGAGAAGAAGCAGATCCAGGAAAGCTCTCTGCCCTTCCCCTATATACCTGAAAACAGAACCTAGCTTTGTACAGTCATTAATCACTGACAACCCTACAGGCTTATCAGCCCCAATAAAGCACTGCAGGACGTTATATAACAAATTTTACACACTAGCTGTTATCTTCCAGTGGCCACTATTTATCTTCCCACGGTTTGTGGCCCTTGGAAGCCTAAAACTCTTTTCCGCTGTCTTGTCATTCTTCTAAAAATATATTGTTTTTTGGTTAAGATGGTATGTAAGCCCAAATTTTAGCCACCTCTTTGAGTTACTCATGCCTGCATTTCTCTCAAATATATATATGAGATACCCATGTTAATAAACTGATTTTACTCTTGCTAATCTGTCTCTTGTTACAGAGCCCCAGCTGAAACCCTAAAAGAGTAGAAGGACAAAGAATTTCCTCATCCTGCCATTTCTAGTGATGAGGATGGGAGAGTAGAAGGCTGGAAAATGCTTCTTTCCACAAAGACTGCAGTTGACTTGTGGGGTAACTGACAACAGACCAGCAGAAGGTACGAGTTCTTACCACGTGAGCCTCCTAGATCTCTGACTATAGTTTCCAGCCAAGAGAAGAGTATAAAACTTTCTCCTTGTCCCTTCCTTTCCAAATTCATCATGGGAGGAGAATAACATTTCTAAAAACAGGTCTCGAATCATGACACTCATAAATTTAGCTTTGGGTACCTACAGGTTATTAATTCTTCGCCTCCCCCAAATAGTCATGTTTTCCTTTGTCTGACTTCGGTATTATTTGTCATAAGGATGAAAATAGTAAGATGAGAGTCTTCATTTGTCTTGTTTCAGGTACTGAGAACCTGGCTTTGTAACTAATGAGAATATTCTCTGGTCTCTTCCACTTGCACAATGGGAGTGAGAGGTGAAGGGAGTGCGCTGTGTCAGGCTTACAGGGGGTTGTGGGCCAGCAGGCTAGGGGGCTGTTGCTATCTGTTTTCCTTTCCTCTTTTGTGCTGGGAAAATTCCTATTCCAGTGTCACTTTCTGGTAACAAAAATTAGTGGATCTGTGAATTAAAGTGTCTCTTTTGTAGGAGACAGAACTTTCTTTTCCACCTGTGACAGTGAAGATCTTTGCTTTCTTAAGCCATCTTGGGAGGCTTTGCACCTCAAGAGGGCACCCTCATTTGCACTCTCTCTCTGTCCACGGTTAAGCCATAAAAGTCTTACTGGTTTGGAGTCACAGTTGAAGTAGATATACCTTTGAAGATTTAGACTTCTATTTCTAAAAGGATTTTTAAGAGAAGTCTCATTCTAAACAAATGTCCTATTAATACCTATAGGAAGATCAGGAAAGAAAGAAAGAAGACAAAGAAGGAAAGAAGGAAAGAAGAAAGAAGGAAGGAAAGAAAGAAAAGGAAAGAAAGAAATAGATACAGAAGAAAACCTTGGCTAGTATGATGGGGGAAAAACCCACACACCTCCTTAACTAGATTAAGAGGTAGAGATCAGACTCAGAGCAAGTGTTAAAAACTGCAAATGACACTCAAGCAGGTATGAAACATGAAAATACTGATAGCCAAGAATTAGATTTGACAAAAGTACATAAGCCTTCTGCCCAAGAAGGCTTGATTTATTGTTCCTTACTCTGTAAGCAGATCCCACGAGGTCTAGGCCTTCCCGTATTTCTGGCCTCCACTGCAGGAAAAAAAAAAAATTCATTGGACTGTCCTACCCTTAATAAAGAAAGAAAAACTCCATAGTAATGACCCTCAGTTTTTGATAGTAGGCAAATATACCCCTGATTTCCTTCTTAGATAAACCCCATATCCTTTCTCAGTCCCTTGGAAATATTCGTGTTACCATGTCTTTGAAATGTAAGTATCCACGGAGAAAATTTGTTAAAGCAACTCCTGAGACTGGAAAAATAGGTTTTTAAAAAACAATCTGCTACTTGATATTTCTATAGGCTCCTGGCCCAAAATTTAGTCCACAGCCTCCATAGAATTATCTACTAGAGACAAACAAAAATCTTAAAAGTTTTCTCCACAAATATTGGTAAAATCTTTAGCTATCTAAGCAGTTAAACATAACTTACTCCATTTGCCAGAAACACTGTTTAGATCGAACTATTTTTTTATAAGTTAAATGAGTTTCGTATTATTGTACTTGATATGCGGCTAAAATTTTTAAATGAAAGCTACAAGATCTCTGCATCTGTCTGGATGTTTATGTGTGGCAATGTATGCATGTCACATAATATATGGTATTCTTCTCCCTCTGGATGGTAGTCCTAAAAACTAACTTGTGGAAGAGTTCTATTAATTGGCTTAAAGAAAATATAAGCACTAAAACAAATGAATAAATATGTATATATATATACTTACATAAATTAAGGCTAGTTAAATTAGCTTACACCATCTGTACTAATTATTTGAGATTATAAAATTATAAATTCAGCCAAAGAACAAAATATACAATAAAAAATGATTCTCTGGGATGCCTGGGTGTCTCAGTCAGTTAAGTGTCTGCCTTTGGCTCAGGTCATGATCCCAGGGTCTTGGAATCGAGTCCCACGTTGGGCTCTTTGCTCAGCAGGGAGTCTGCTTCTCTCTCTGCCTGCTGCTCCCCTGCTTGTGCTCTCTCTTTTTCTCTCTGACAAATAAATAAATAAAATCTTTAAAAAAGGGGGGGGGAGAATATTATATCTATGTAACAAGAGAGGATATATGGTAATGAAATAATCAGATAATTTAAAAAGAGGAACCCTTGAGATTTAAAAATATGACCACATGGGGCACCTAGGTGACTCAATAGGTTAAGTATCCTACTCTTGATTTTGGCTCAGGTCATGATCTCAGGGTTGTGAGATCGAGCCCCTCCTTGGGCTCCACGCTCAGCATAGTCTTCTTGAGAATTCTCTCCCCTTCCTTCTGCCCTTCCCCTTCCAAGCATGTGTACTCTTTCTCTCAAATAAATAGATAAATACTTTAAAAAATATGACCACATTAATAAAACATTTAATAGAAAAATTATGAGATATATTTGAGAAATATTATTAGAAATAGAATAAAAAGACTGAGATGAGGGGCGCCTGGGTGGCTCAGTGGGTTGGGCCGTTGCCTTCGGCTCGGGTCAGATCTCAGGGTCCTGGGATCGAGTCCCACGTCGGGCTCTCTGCTCGGCAGGGAGCCTGCTTCCCTCTCTCTCTCTCTCTCTCTCTCTCTGCCTGCCTCTCTGTCTACTTGTGATCTCTCTCTGTCAAATAAACAAATAAAATCTTTAAAAAAAAAAAAGACTGAGATGAAAAACAGGAGAGAAAAGATGAGAAAATTAGAGAATGAAGAAATCAAACATCCAATTAATAGGAATTCTTTAAAGGAATTACAGAAGAAAAAAGTATAAAATAGGGCACATGGGTGGTTCAGTCAGTTAAGCAGCTGCCTTCAGAGCAGGTCATGATTCCAGGGTCCTGTGATTGAGTCCCGCATTGGGGTCCCTGCTCCTTGGGGAAACTGCTTCTCCCTTTCCCTCTGCCTCCTCCTCCCCTACTTGTGTGCTCTCTCTGTCAAATAAATAAAATCTTTAAATATATATATATATATATATATATATATATATATATATATATATAAAATCTTTAAATAAATAAATATATATATATAGTTGGGTCCCCCAAAAATTGGGTACCCCAATAATGGGTCCGTGATTAAAGGAGCCAGACTGATACAAAGCAAAGGTCAAGCAAAACTTTATTTCGGGCCAAGCATCAGGAATCAGACTGACCATCAAACAGAGCAGTCAGGGCCGCCCCTACAGAGAGGATGACCCCTCCCTGCTTTCCAGCCTAACTTTTATAGAGCAAAGGCCATGTGGTTGGGCCTGGCCACACACAGGAGGCTAATGAGATTGTAACACACACACAGGAAACTCCATAGTGATGCTAGGTGACCAATTGAATTACAATTTACCCTAGTAAACATTTGAACCAGCCTATCACCTAATTCAGAATTGGCCCTCAAAAGGTGCCCAAAGGGCGGGGCCCATACTCCTTGGTAGCTAGGAGACAGTATGCACCCCCACTGATTGAATACTGCCACCTGGCCTGACCCACCCTTGTATTTGGACTTCGTTACCTGGGACTGGTTTCCCGGACTTGATTTTAAGTAAGTTCCCCTGGGCGGGGGTGGGGGGGGTGGGGGGTGGAGAGCAAGGTTACAACAAAATGGCAGTTCAACCAGGTGGGGCTGCTCTGGCTGAATAGGCCATATATATATAGGATATATCCTATATATATATGG